GCAACCCCCCTCGTTCACCGTTCTTCTAAGAAAGCGGCCTCCCAAACGAGGGAGATCGTCCCCTGCGAGCCCGTACCTATCAACCAAATGCCCGGTCACTTTGACGAAGAGACTGATGATTAGGAGGAATGGGTTGAGCGGATTGAGGACATGGGCTTTTTCCCAATTGAATTTAGGCTTGTACGCCTTATCCCCTCCAAGGTTCCGAAAAAGACCATGAGTGAAATCAGGCTTAACGTTCCAAACGGCTACCTTCTTCACTACAACCCTAACTGGCGAAGATCCGGCCAAGATCCGGTGAAGGTGGTATCCTTCTCCCCCTTCGTCCTCTCCTTGTTGATATTTGTCGTAGCTTTTCTATTCTGCCCGGTAAGCTTACTCCCAACGCACACCGTTTCCTCAATTGTTTCGTAAATATCTATCAATCCCTAAAACTTCAACTCTCCCTAGACCTCTTTCTGTACATGTTTGACGTCTTACCTGGTGGAAAGAGCTGCCCAGGGCTTGTTTACTTCCACTCTCGTTTGAAGAGGTCATTCGTGACCGACCTTCCACCTAGCCACAAGAAATGGAAAACCTGGTACATATTCGTCGAGTTCCACAAGGAACAATTCCCTTTTTCAAAACTCCAATGGGGGGACCGGCTTCCTGAACCCGAAACGGTGACCCTTGTTAGGATGAGGGTGCCACCAGGTCCCCTAAAAGGAGGCCTGTGAGAAACTCCTCAATGGCGACCCTTCAACCGGGAACCTCTACACCTACGATAGTTGGATGTACCAACTCCCTTGTCACGATGAGGGTGCCACCAAGTCCCATGATGCAAAAGATAACCGGGAACCCTCCCTAGAAACTCATGCTGAGGTCGGGTCCCCTCGTCCAGGTCAGTGAATTCTTTATTAGAACTCATAACTTTCGCTGTAACTTTACGAGATCGATATCTAATGTTTTGCCCTCTCATTTTTCTACGGCCTGACATGTAGTTCATTGTGCTTGATTCTGAGTCGATCTCGAACGATGAGGATTTGCTTAATGAGCTGAATGTCAGGGCCAGCCTTCCCCCGTGCTAGAGAAATCTTCGGGGCCAGTTCCGAACGAAGCTGTCCATTGGACGAGTGCCTGATGCTCTCAGATTTCTGACCATCTTCGCACCAAGAGCCAGTCACCTCATTCGAAGATGGGGACGAGTCAGGGTGAAGCCGGAGGATTTGCCGGAAAGGGCTCCGGGAAACCTCCTTCCTCCTCAAAGTCTAAAAAAACTTAAAAAGGAAGGGTGTGAAAGACCGTCAGGATGGTGCCTAAAAGAAGAAGAAATCCACCGGTCCTCTTTGCCTGCCATGGGTATCTACCGAGGACTTACTCCTCGCCCTTGGTCACAGGCTCTATGATGTAAGTAGCTATCTCATACAGGTGGTTTACGTTGTTTGTCAATCTGGCTGGGTTTGATCTCCTTTTCTAATTCTTTCTAGGTCGGGGCCATCACAGAAGAGTTTGCCAGGTCTGTTCTGGAATCAAAAGATGAGCAGATTTCCTGTCTCCAAGCCCATGTGGTCTCCCTCAAGCAAGAGGTAAAAGACCGGAGGGAAAATGAGAAACACCTATCTGCCCGGAACCTCCCCCTATCAAATGAAGCCACCCGGCCCAGTTAGAACATCTCATCCATGTTCAACTAGAAAAAGTGAAGGAAGAAGAGAGCGAGATCTCCAGGTTGCGGGAAGAGATTGATCAGCTGAAATACGGCCTTGCTCTTGTGGAGGAAGATGCCCAGGTGCAAGAGGAAGCCTTCCCTTCCACCGCCGCTGAATGGTCAGCCCATCACCCTAGAAAAGTTGCCCAGGCATTCCTTGTCAACCGGGAGTATACAATGGCTTTCTTCAAGACTTTGTACCAGGAGCCCTAGGGGAAGAAGATGATCACGGACATCGGGTCCTATGGCTTTGAGTGTGGTCAAAAAACTGAAAGGGTCGGTCTCTATGCCAAACTTCAGAAGAGGGACCCCTCGTCTGACCCAACTGCCATGAAGCTCCCGGCTCTGTACAAAGTGGAGCCTTCCCCCCATTTCCCCTAAAGTAGGGTAGGTTAGGATCCATTTTCATTCCTTCCAAGGCCAAAAGAATGCCTGGTCTTTCTTATGATGTAACTTTGTCGAAACTAATTTTCTAGAATTCAACTTAATCTTTACTTCCAGTGTGATACATTTTGTGCCTGGTTTGTCTTGTTTGAATTCCCATGATAGGCTTGACTTGATATTCTTACCGGCTTATGCTTATTGAATGAATGTGTTGTTATTTAACCTTCCACCTTACCAATGTAGTTAACTTTACAGGTTGCCCATAAGAAATACATTGCCGGCGAAGTAACAGGCTCAGGTTGCCCATAAGAAATACATTGCCAGTGAAGTAAAAGGCTCCAGCCCTGAACTTCTACTTGGTTTGGCACGACGTAGCTTTTGTCCTTTGATTACTTTGATAAACTAAGGTGACAGGTCTCCCACGATCGGTAAACCACCAGCCTCCAAGTAATTAAGCTGATTCAGGAACAAATGACTTGAAGACAAAGTCTGGACATCTCAAATTGAAGAGCTCACCCAGAATTCCTAAACAAACACTTGAAGACAAAATGAGTACTCCACTCAATAAAGAGCTACAGTCCAGAATTCTAGAACAACAGCTAGAGTACGGATTCTGTGAAAAAGGAATTGTTCTTCAAACAATTGGGTATGTCCAAACACTCATTCCAATGAAGAATCCTCAATCTCACTCTTCGTTCAAATTGAAGCCAGCAAATGCAACGGATAGTCTATTCCCTTCAACGGATAGATTATCCATCTAGCTATATAACTTTCAACGGATAGTCTCCACCATCGTTCAACGTTGACAACCGTTCGTTTATCTCGTTTCATCGTTCCATCAACCCCTTCGTTTAGAGGTGAGTACGTTGCCCTCTAACTTTAGAATTCATAGTATAATCATATCGTTATATTCATAGGATTACCGGCTAAACCTACGTGCATCCACGTTATCACGATTCTTCGTTGATTAGACCTTTCGATTACGTGCTTGATAATATAAACGTTACGAAACCTTGTAAATTCATCGACTACTTAACCCGGAAACGTAACCGTACATTTCTAAAACTACCAACGTATGGGTGTAATCAAACAGACAAGACGAGAACCTGCGAGCCATGATAATCGATTTACAGGCCGTGGTAATCGATTAACAGGCTACGCTGGATTCCTCGTTGAATAAGCAAGGTGTGACAATCGATTATCACAGGTGATAATCGATTATCAGGCCCTGCGGATTCTTGAGTCAGAGTTGGTCTCGTTGATAATCGATTACCACAGAACAATAATCGATTTTCAGGCCTCTCGGAACTTGAGTTTCTTGGACCAAACCATCTGACAATTGATTGACATGAAGTGACAATCGATTATCGTGCCCTACGGGACTTTGAGAACAGAAGCTGCACAGCAAGATAATCGATTATCAGCAATGGATAACCGATTATCATCCAGTTCTGAACCCAAAGTCACCATGTCAACCAAATTGTTTCCATACGGAATCAAACATCTATGTATGCGTTGAAGTTAACTTTATTCTATAATCAATGCATCCATATCATCACGTATAGCGTTGTTTCCCTTTGCTCTACGCAGGTAGGCTAGAGGATCATGGAGCCTGACCCGGACGACTGGGTGATCGGAGCGGCGGATGAATGACAGTGGGGACTTGTTTAATTATCCATTTAATTATGAAAACGTTTTGGGCTTGAACCCACCGTTGTTGCACTTTTGTTATTAATGACTTAACGGTTTTACTTACATTCACTTCCGCTATAGACGTTCTCTTCAATTGAATTTATTTCCATCATTTAATAATATTTATATCAAGGGATTTCCGTTACAAGCAATGCAAGGGTTTTCCTTGTAGAACCTTAAAACCGTCTACGTAACCTCTCCGGCTTGTTGGACCGCGGTGAACCGGGTTCGCGGAACGGAGGGTGTTACAAGGTCAGCATTAGTGTTCTCGGCCCTCGGAACCTTCTCCAGAACATACTCTGTCAAACCCCGCAACAAAGCCATTGCAAGGTCCCTATACCCTTGCATTTTTCCCACCTTTGCTTCCATGTTCCCATTAATGTGGCCAACAACCAAGTTCAAATCTGATCTTATCTTTAATCGTGTGATTTGTAAGGTTTTGGCCACTCTCAGACCCCCCACCAAGGCTTCATACTCGGCCATATTATGTGTAAGCTTGAATTTGAAAATTAGGGCATGGTATATCTTGAAGCCCTCCGGGGTAGTGAAAACCACGCCCCCTCCATAGCTCTTTGGTCCTGAAACCCCATCCACTGACATCGTCCACCATGGCTCAATGATCGCTCTGGTCAGTTATCAATTCTTGATGGGTCACACCCAGTGAGACAGAAGGAAAGATTTTTGTCTAGTGAAAGGAGGGACTTCGTAAAGAAAGAAGTCAAGGACTTGCTGGGCGTAGGCCATATATGGGAAGTAAATTATTCTGAATGGTGTAACTTAAACCGGGTAAGTTTGACCAGGTACGACCAAGTCAAACAGGCTCTACCAAGTAAGCCAAACACACTAGAAAGTAAGAACACAAAAAATGACCAAGACCAGGAAGGAATTCCTATGCCCGAAACTGTATTTCTAACTCTATCTCAAGAGTGTACAAAGATGTGTATGAATGAAATCAATGCCCCTCCTTCACCTCTTACGATCTATTTATATTGGGTGGAGGAAGTCAATTAAGGTGACAAGCCCTTTCTCGGGCGTAAACTTAGCTTTAATCAGTACCTACATAAGGAAATAGCCCCTTGACCCGCTGCTCGCTGGCCTAACCGTCAATGAGCGTCAATCTCGCCCTTGTTTATGCTGTCCAGCGGTTTAGCTCGATTCTCGCTCCGTCATTAAGTTTCTAAGATGACGAGGTAGTACAACAGGATGGCTCCACGCATGCCCTCGCCTAGCATCACGTTCGTCAGTTAAACTCATAGAATCTAACCGTGCCCATCTGATGGGCTAAACCCTCGAGCCGACTCAAGTAACGGCCCTATAAGAAAATGACCATGCCGAAAACATTACCGGTCACCTTTCAGGAAAGAGGTGACCGGTCATTTCCAAAATGTTTTACGCCATTTGGAACGCCACTTAATTTGTTGACCAGTCACATTTGACTTATCACTTTGCGCCTGGCCGGGTCGGGTATTGGTTATACCCATCACTATGATAAATAAATCACCATAAATATGAGTAAAATATTGACAAAATACCAAACTAAGAATTCTATGTTTTCATCTCTAAAGTAAAAGTTTGCTTTGTAGTAATGTGTCATTGTATATGGACACTTTACAATACTTTTTGATAATGTATATAGTCATAATTGATATTGTATATGTATTTTAACTCATATTTCAAAAAAAAATGTTGAACCCCTATTTTGATATATTTTCAATATTTGTATAATTTTAGTTTTTTTGAATCATCCTGTGTTTTTATTGAGTAAATTCCATAAAAGGTCCCCGGTTATGGATTGTTTTACATATTTAGTCCCTACGTATCAAATATCAATAATTTCTTTCCCAATTATTATATAGTTTTTCACGAATGATCCTTTGTTAACGTTTTCCCAGAAATGGATAAGATTGTATATTAACATTCTTCTCTCTCCTCAATTAAGCTTCTTCACTCCTCTCATACTCCTTTCCAAACCTGTCTCTGAGTTTGAAGCTCTAAACCCAAAACCAAAATGATCACTCCTCTGTCAGTTGTTAAAATATCTGGTGGAACCCAAAATTAAAACGAATAATCTTTAAGGATGAGTTTTATGGGTGAGTCTTATGAAATTGTAAAAAAAAGTGTTAAAACTCATCCATAAAGGTTATTGATTTTGATTTTAAGTTCAACTAGGAAGACCAACAATTGAGACCAGAGTAATGATTTTAGTTTTGAGTTCAAATCTTCAAACTCAGGAACGAGCTTGTAAAAGGAGTGCGAGGAGAAGGAAAAAGCTTAATTGACAATTTAATGCACGTTCTTAACGAAAATGTTAACAAAGGACTATTAATGGAAAATCATATAGTAATTGGAGATTAAATTATTATTATATGATATATATGAACTAAATATTTAAAACTAACTATAAACTATTAAACTTTTATAGAATTTGTTTTTTTCGTTTATTCACACAAACCCTAGCATCAAAACTACCTGAATTTTACGGAGTCCTACTCCTACATACTTCTCTCTTTATCGATCGCAAATTCATCTGTATCTAGGTTTAATTCAACGATTCATTTATGCGCTCGGTTTGAGTACCTGATTTTCACATCCTTATTATTTCTTTCCCGTTTCAGAATTCGAATAGATTTTTCCCCGATGTATATGCTGTTAATAGTAGCTCAGCAGCAGTGATGGTTATATCGGATACTCTGCGTTTCTGTTCGATTTGCATGGGTAAAGAAGGATGCAGGAGTTACGGATGGGAGAAG